GGCGGGGGTGGGGCCGAGCAGGGGAGGCGGGGCCCAGGGGGCGGGAGGGGCGGGGCCGGGACCCAGGGGGCGGGGAAGGCGGGCACCGGTTGGAGGTCAGGCTCCAGGCCATAGGAGGTTGAGGCTGGCTGGGTGGGGAGAACAGGTTCATCCATCGAGAGATCCCCTAACCCTTTCCCCACCCAGAGCTCACGTACCAAGAAGTGCTCAGCTTCAAACCCGCTGAACCCCCGCAATCACCCGACAGCCTGGACGTCGAGCAGTGACGCATGACCACCCTGATCGCACCCAGGACAGACCTGGCGTTGACCCGAGTCAGTGCACCGGCTTCCCAGCACCCTTAGGACCTGGGGCCCCAATTCCCCATGTGGGACCCCTCAGCCTGCACGCCTCGAGGGAGCCCGTACACGTGAGGGAATGCAGGAACACGTGCACGTGTGGCATGCTGTGTCTCAGGGCCTGTTTCGACCCCTCTCAGCTAGCGTAGGGTCTCCTGGGTCCTTACTGTTGAGGAGGGTGTGGATGTCTCAGAGCTGTCTGGGGAGGGGTGACTTTGCCATGGGCCTGGGACAGGAGTCCCTGACACCCAAAGGAAGGAGTCTCAATATCAGACCTGCTCAGCCTGGAAATGCCCCCAACCTGGCAGGGTTCGCCTTGGGTAACAGAAGAGTTGCCTGCTGCCTGGCGGTGCCTGTGTGGCACAGCACCTTTATCTGAGGGAGTGGGTGTTGGGAGGGAGCGGACAGGTGTGGGCGGTGTGTGCTGGCATGGCTGGGTCTGCAGGCTCGGAGGGCCTTCAAGGACCCAAGGGCATCTAAAGTGAGGACGCTGGACTCTTGTCCACCTCTCTCCACTCATCCTGGATGTCATGATACGCACTAGGCCCCCTGAGGGTGAGAAGATCCCACTGAGCCACCTCTGCCTGGGGCTGTCATGTGGTTCCTGTGACAGGAGGTCCCTGTGCTGGTTGGGAGGAGGCAAGCATAGGCCTGATACGGCGGTCGTGCATGTTGCGTATGGACTTGGATTCCAGTGCTCTGACCCCTGGACTGTAGTCCAGGGCTAGGATTTGGGGGTCTGTGAGTCACCCCTGTCTCTGTCTCGTCAAAACACAGAGCTGGCCAAAAGCCCTGCTCAGAGACTGGGAGGTGTGGCCCTCCCTGATGAGGCTTCTAAGCAGCTGTGGGCCCCTCTGAGATCTGAAATGGGAAGTGCCAGATCACAGGGTGCTCAATAAAGGGTCCCCTCTTGCATAGCTGGTGTCCGAGGCTCCAGGTCTGCACCGCAGGGAGATGGCAGGGCTCAGCCTTCCTCTCCTGCCTGCTAACAAGAGTGTGGTCGGTCTAGGAGTAAAGAGGACCCTGTCAACCCAGCAAGGCCCTGCCCTGACCACTCAGCCTGTCAGGGTCGCCAGGACTCAGGGGCTATCTTACCCTGAGGTCAGTGGAGCTGCAGAGCCTCAGGTCTGGAAGGCCCCAGAGATGTGTGGGTGTAATGGGTACAGGACTAATGTTGTCTAGTTTGGGGAGGAAGCGCTATGGGGTGGACCTCCTGGAGGAGGTGGGCGTGCAGCAGCCAGGTTGTTAGGGGAGCAGCCCTGGCACACCCAGGCCGTGCTCACTCTGCTGGACACCAGCTGCCAGCCCGTGAGCGCCCAGTCGCCAGGTGTAAAGCTGCTTGGCTCGATCAGCGCTCCAGGCTGCTGAATCATGGCTGATGGGCGGGGCACCAAGCACATGGCAGGGGTCACTCTCTCTTCAGACTTGGGGGCTGATGGTCTGGGGGAAATGCAGGAGGGACCCAGCCCCAAATGGGGCTGACTCATGCCTGTGAAGGGCCATCCTGCAGAGGTTAGGGGTCAGCACAAGGCAGAGGGGAGCTGCCGCTGACTGAGAAGTTTCAAGGCCAGCCAGTGGTGTTGAGGGGGCTGCTGGAATGGGGAGAAGCATGGGACTTCAAGACTTCAGGGAGACCTGGGTTAGTGACCACAGAGATGGGTCTTCGGGACACTGCCTGAGAAGTCTGGGAGACAGAACAGGCCTGTCTCTTGCATGCAGTTTGGGGGGCAGTTAGGGTGTGGATGCGGGGTGCAGGAGAATTAGAAGAGGGGGCTGCCGGATTGGCGGGGGAAGAGGGCAGGCTGCAGTTAGAGGATGAGTATCCTTGGGGGTGGGGAGATGACAGCATGAACATCAGCAAGAATGATTAGGAGAGGGCCCAGAGTGAAGAGGCATCTCCAGGACTGATGGCTAGTGGCTGGGGGTAGATGTTGGGGCCCCAGGACCCTGTGTATAGGGCAGCAAAGAGGCTGCAGTCCCTCTGGCCCCACACCCCAGCAAACCAGAGGTCTGCGGAATGGGGCTGCCCGGCACCCCACCCCCCCCCAGGCCCGCGGTCTCCTCGGGTTTCCGGAGGACCCAGGCGGGGCCATCACGTGCACGGGACCCGGGGACCGGTTGGTCGGAGGGACAGGGAGGGGCCGCAGGGGTCAGGGAGCCCAGAGAGTGGTTTCCCACGGAGAGCCTGCGGTCCGCGCACGCCAGGAGCACCAGAGAACCCCGCTGGTCTGGCCCTGGGGGGTCTGCGGCGGGCGCGGGGTCGTCATGAGTTCCCCGCTGCCCGCCCGCAAGGGGTTCTACCGTCAGGAAGTGACCAAGACCGCATGGGAGGTGCGCGCCGTGTACCAGGCCCTGCAGCCGCTGGGCTCGGGCGCCTACGGAGCCGTGTGGTGAGCGCCCCGGCGGGCTGGGCGGGGGGCGGGCGCGGCCGGCCGGCCCCCGCTGAGCGGCCCGCCCCGCAGCTCCGCAGTGGACAGCCGCACGGGCGCCAAGGTGGCCATCAAGAAGCTGTACCGCCCCTTCCAGTCGGAGCTGTTCGCCAAGCGCGCCTACCGCGAGCTGCGCCTCCTCAAACACATGCGCCATGAAAATGTGAGTGCGGAGGGGCCCCGCCTACGAGGTGGTAGTGGGCAGCTCGCGAGGGCGGGGGGCCGGGGCCTCCGGTCCTAGAGTGAGGGGCCTTCGGAGTCTGGACACCCTCCTGGGCGGTCTTCGCGAAGACTCGTTCAGGGGCTTTCCTTGGGGCCACCGCATCTGCTTACAGGGCCTGGTCTGTTGTGTCTCCTGGGGCTCGCTCCCACCGGGCCCCTCGGCTGCTGGGGAAAGCCAAGGGAAGCGAGGGAGGCGGTTTGCCTGTGCCGCACACCCCGGGAAGCGTCCCGAATGGGCCTCTCCATCACTGGGTCAATGGCCTGTCTCTGACTCTGCTCATTGACAGCTTCCTTGCGCATACGCACATCTCAGGGCCAGCCCAGCCTGTGAGCACTGTGGGGTTAGAGGGCCTCAGGGACTAAAGGAGTTTAGGGGGCTAGTATGGGAGGGCAGCTGCCGTAGTCCTGGCACGTAGAGGGCCATCAGGGGAGGTGGGCCTTGCCAGAAAAGGCCAGCACCAAAGACATCACAGCTGGCCTGTGGCTCAGAGGCCAGGGCCTGAGAGCTAGTCACCTCCCGGGATGTGGGCTCTGTCCCTCCTATCCAGGTCACTTCACACTCTGGCCCCCACAGCAAACACTCCAGCTCCCAGCCATCACCACTGTCCACTCCACCACCCCTGCGACCCCTACACCATGATCACCCTCAGACTTGTCCTGTCCCTGGGCTCATGGCTTCTAGGTCCCTCCACCACCTGCAGCTTCAGGCAACTCTAGCAGCAGAACCCTCTTAACCCCACCCATGCTGAGACTGGCCCTGTCACCTCCTGTCCCTGGAGCAGCAGGTCCCCTGTCCCTTCATCATCAGGCCCACCCATTGTTTATGAGGCGTGTGAGCCTTTCAGACTCTGAGCTGTCTGTCCTGGTCATAAGTCAGCGACTTCAGGCCTTCCCTCCTCCTCCCATTGCCATCACACAGGCACAGGAAGTCCTCCACTGGCCCGGGACTTCCTTTTGCTAAAACTGCTTGCTGCATCCCTGAGCTCTCAGCTCTGTCCCAGGGTATCCACCTGCTCCATACCCCGCCCTGATGGTGCTCCTCCTACGCCCTGGTGCCCAGGTGGCACGTCCTCCTGCTCCTCTTTCTTTCCAGCTCTGGCCCAAGTGGCTGCAGTGGTGACCCAGCTGTCCTCTGTCCTCCTACTCAGTGGGTCCCTACCCTGTTTGAACTCCTTGAATGGCCCTTAGGATCAAAGGCAGATCTTCATTTGGTGTTTGAGGTCCTACCCTGATTCTTTCTGGATTGGACCCTGCTCCTGGCCTTCCTCCACCTGTCCCCCTGCCCCCAGATGTGCCGTCCCCTGAAGCTCCCCAGTCCTGGGGTGGGTGGCAGAGGGCAGTCTGCCATACCTTGCCCACACAGCCTCTTCAGGGTTGCACTCACAATAATGTCCCGAGTCTGAAGAGCCACTTCAGGACACGCCTCTCCCCCCAGGGGTCCCTGGGGTGGAATGGGGCTTAGTGTCTTCCCAGTCTTGGAGCGGGGCCCTCTGCTGGAGGATCCCGGCTGTCACCATCCAAAAATAGCCTGTGTCTGAGTGCCTGGGTGCCGGGGCTGGGCTGCCCTTCCAGGGCCAGAGCAGTCCTGTGGGCATGAGGAGGTGCTGCTGGAGCCCAGGCCCGCCAGGGTGGGGCCTGTCCTGACCCTGCAGGCTCTCGGCCTCTCCTCCAGGTGATTGGGCTACTGGACGTGTTCACTCCCGATGAGACTCTGGACGACTTCTCTGACTTGTGAGTGGCCAACTGGAGGCTGGGCGAGGGGAGGGCAGCTTCTAGTCACAGGCTTTGGGGTCTGGGCTGGCACTGGGGCTTCTGCCCTGCCTCTCCATGCAGCCATCACACGGGCCAGGCCACACTGTCTCTGTCTTGGTCTGTAGACCTCATTCACTGCCTTGCTGTGCCTCTGGAACCCACACGTGCTGTCAGGGACCTTAAGTTTGGGCTGCCCGCTTCTGCCAAAGCTTAGCCAGGATAGACGGGCTCCTGGCACCGGGGGACTCCTCAGCGCCTGAGGTGTGAGCCTGGACCTGAGGTTAGCCGGCATCCCGTGCCCAAGACTTGGCCACCAAGTGTGCCTGAAACTAGATCTATTGACCTTTCCCGTGGGGAGACACACACACATATGACTGTCTCTTTCCTCACCGCTGAGCTGGCCCCAGTCTCCCTGCAGATCCCTAGACCCACAGCATCTCAGTCACAAGCCAAGGGCTTTATCAGGGAAGAGCTGGGCAGAGCAGTGGGCTCCTGGTCCCTGGCTTTGCTGCAGTGTCCTTGGAGAGCTCATCTGCCTGCCACTCCCTGTTCCCATGGACCTTCACACCTTCCTGCTGTCCACCCTCAACCCCTTGATGCCCAGCACCCTGAAAGTCCAGTCATGTTCCTGCCAAGCAGGGCGGGCAGCATGGAAGTGCCAGCACAAGAGACAGAGTGGGTTTGAGAATCCTGGGAAGTTTGGGGGACACAAGAGCAAGGTGACTGCTGAGAGTCAGGGTGTGAGGGCTGGATGGGGCAGCGGGCGGCAGGCTCAGAATGGCAGCAAGGTCTCCGCTGGGTGACCAGAGCCCGTGACCACGGCCCAAACCTTGGCGGGTGTAACCAAAACTGCATGGCTCCTACAGCTATCTCGTGATGCCATTCATGGGCACTGACCTGGGCAAGCTCATGAAACACGAGACGCTGAGCGAAGATCGCATCCAGTTCCTTGTATACCAGATGCTGAAGGGGCTCAAGGTGGGTACAGGGGTGTGGTATTGTCGGGTAGAGGAGAAAGGGAGGCCATGCAGGGGAGGGGTGATGGAGGGTGGGGACGGGGCAGGATGGCACAGGGGAGGTGCGGGCCACCCTGACCTCTGACCGTCCCTACAGTACATCCACGCCGCGGGCATCATCCATCGGGTGAGTCCCAGCAGGGAGTGCGTGGGGCACCCCTACCTCACTGTGTGAGTTGGTGCCACACCCGCCACGTGGCCACTCCCCAATTCCATGAAGGGCCACGGTGGATGGGTAGCTGTCTCTGCTATGGGGGGTTCCAGCCCTGAGTGGCTTTGTCCACGCTGCCCACGCCCACTCCACCCGGTGGGAATGCAGTGGTCCTCTGTCCTCGCCTCCAGGACTTGAAGCCCAGCAACCTGGCAGTGAATGAGGACTGTGAGCTGAAGGTGCGTGTGTGCAAGGAGCTGGGCAGGGGTCTCGGGCTGGAGGCCCTGCGGGTCCGTGGGGGCCCTCAGCTGGGAGGGTGGCATGAGCGGGCCGCATTAGGCCCTTTCAGCCCTTCACTTCTGACGGGGAGCAGGACCACAGAGGTCAGATGAGGACAGACTGAAAAGCTGCAGCGGGAGGTGGGGCCTCTAGGAACACCCCACTTAGGACCTACAGGCTTCGAGTGGAGACAAGACCCCAGTCTGGCCCCGTGAAGTCCCTCAGGACCCCGTGGCTTCCCCATTCCCCAAATTCCTCTTGCAGATTCTGGACTTCGGCCTGGCCAGGCAGGCAGATAGTGAGATGACAGGGTACGTGGTGACCCGGTGGTACCGGGCACCCGAGGTCATCCTGAACTGGATGCGCTACACGCAGACTGGTGAGAAGCCAGAACCGAGGCTGGGCAGGGGGTCAGGGCAGTTTGGTCTGGTGGGTCTAGGGAGGGTCTGACAAAGTGGGGCTTCTGTTTCAGTGGACATCTGGTCGGTGGGCTGCATCATGGCAGAGATGATTACTGGGAAGACTCTGTTTAAGGGCAATGACCGTATCCTCTGGCTGGTGTCAGGCTGGGGGCAGGGGTCTGGGAGGCTGCCCAGCTGGGGCACGGGCATCACCCCTGGTCCGGCGCTGTCCTCCTGAGCTTGAGACAGACCTGGACCAGCTGAAGGAGATCATGAAGGTGACGGGGACACCCCCAGCCGAGTTTGTGCAGAGGCTGCAGAGTGCTGATGTCAGTTGGAGCTGGGGGTGGAGGTGTGGGGACCAATGCCAGGGATGAGGGGCTTGGCTACCCACTCACCCCCTTCTCCACAGGCCAAGAACTACATGAAGGGTCTTCCTGAGCTGGAGAAGAAGGACTTTGCCTCCATCCTAACCAACGCCAGCCCCCTGGGTAGGGCACCCGGGGTAGTGTGGGAGCCAGGGTGGGGTGAGCACCTCTGCTGAGCCTTGTCACCCCCACAGCGGTGAACCTCCTGGAGAAGATGCTGGTGCTGGATGCGGAGCAGCGGGTGACGGCAGCCGAGGCGCTGGCCCACCCTTACTTTGAGGTCCTGCATGACGCGGAGGACGAGCCGACAGCACAAAAGTATGACGACTCCTTTGATGATGTGGACCGCACGCTGGACGAGTGGAAGCGTGAGTACGCAGGCGCACCCCGGGGGCGTGAAACCGCCTTGGCCCAAAAGCTTGGCAGCCAGCCAGCCCCTCCCCCACCAGACCTCAGCCCTGCGCCCCTCCCCAGGCTGGGCCAGGGGCCCAGGGCCAGGACTCCCTCCTTGTCCACTTCTCTGCTTGGCTTGTGCTCTCACACCCTCACCCCTGCCCTTGCCCCACCGAGGACCTGAACTAACCCCCTGTATAATCCTAACATCCCAGCTGCCTTCACCTCACAGACACCTTTCTTGTGACCCATCCCTCCGGGCTTCGTGAGAAAACTCCGCTTTGCCCTAGGAGCCCTGAACTCTCCGTGGAGGACAGTTTAGCCTTGCTGAGCCCTAGACCTGGCTCCCGGGCCCCCTCCCTGCATCTTGAGTCCTTGCCAGAGCCAGCAGCCCCCACTGGATCAGGCAGGGCTGTCTTAGGGATGAGAGGCCCAGACCTGCCCACAGGGTCATGTTCCTAGGGCTGTGACGTGAGTTCCAAACTGTATTATGTTTACGGCTTTGATTTTGTTTGGTGAAGCTGCTAAAAGGAATTCTGTGAAAACCTCCAGCCACAAGATCCCTTCTGTGGTTCAGACATACAAAGTATCTGTGGCCCAAGGCTTTTGCTTTTGCAACAGACCACAGTAGCCACGTGAACTGTTTGTGGCTAAGTCCTGCTCAGGAGCACAGACTCTTAGCTCCTGTGTCCTGGGGTGGGTAGGGAAGCCAGCTTCAAAGCCTTGGCTTCTTCAAGGTCTCTTCCCATGGCTTCATGTGGACTTACCCAGGTTGGGGTTAGCTTACCAGTCTGTGTAGCACCCCATGATCTGGGACACACACACACACCAGGTGTGAGAGGACCGAAGGGTGGGACTCCAAGAAGCAGAGCAGCCCCCAGACCTGCACCCTCAGCTATTCCCGCCCTTCCTCTGGTAGGCCTTGCCTTGGGAATGAAGTCCAGGGCACACCTCCTCCAAGCAGGAAGGTGGACCCTGGAAATGAGTTTGCGAGTTCCTCTGTGCACTGGTCCCTGGAATAGGCTGTCTCCTGCAGGGACTCAGCTCCACCTGGAGAAAGTTTTTGGACTTGTTTCCTGGACAAGCTCCAGTCTCAGGGCCCTTCCCCAGGTCCGCTCCAAGACGAGTCCCCCAGGCCCCTGGCCCCAGATCAATCCACAGGCATGCCCCTAGACCCACTCACAGCCCATCCCCAGACCAACCCGAGGCCATGGCCCTAGGCACACCCCCAGACCCCCATGGGCCCGCCTCCAGCCCACAGGATCGCCTCCGAAGAGCTTTCTGGGCTTAAGGAGGCATAACCTGGGCAGAGCTGTAGCTGAGACTCTGGCCCTGACGTTTGAGGGGGGCAGAGATTTGGGGGTTTTGTTAGGTCACGGCTGATGAGCCTCACTGTGAGTGGATCTTTCAGCAGGTGGGGTGAGGTGGGACGCCTTGGCCCAGGCCTTCCTGATCTCCCTAATACCCCTTCTCTCCAGGTGTCACCTATAAAGAAGTGCTCGGCTTCAAGCCTCCTCGGCAGCTGGGGTCCAGGGGCTCCAAGGAGACGGCCCTGTGAAGACCTCTGGGTCTGGAAGCAGAGATGGGCACACCATGAGGATCCTGCCTGGGGGCTGCAAAGCTCTGCCTTCCACATGGAGGGTGTCCTGATTCCTGCCTTGACGTGAAGCTTCCAGAATAGACCCTCTCACTCCATGGATTCCCCTTTTCCTCTCAAGACTGTTCTGTTCTTGGGCACCCACCTCAGCCTGACCTCAGATGTGCTTCTGGATTTTATGGACTGACACTGACCTCCTGGAGCAGTAGCCCATCCTTGAGGCAGGGCAGGACTTGGGTCAGCCCTGCTGGTTCTGTGCCTCATGCTCGAGGCCCTGTCCTTGTCTCCGATGTGAAGGGAACAGAGGGAGGGACACCATCTCTCCAGTGGCCACTTTGCCCTCCACCTTGAATGGACTAGTTATGGGGCCTGTGCTCAGCAGACTGGAAGGAATAAACCCTTTTGTAGCTCTCCCTAGCGCCACTGCCTCTGAGTGGGGCCCAGCAGAGAGGAAGCTGGGCCCCAGGCTCTCGGCCTCCAGTGACCTGTCCACTAGCCTTTCCAAGCTGCGTTTTAGTGGGCTCAGAGAAATCTCCCTTACAAATGGGTCCTCTTCTGGGCCAGTGAACTTGAGCTTGGAGCCCCTGGCCCCTGCCTCTCTGTGGAGGGACCTCTCTGAAGCCATAGGATTCCTGCCATCCTGAGTGGCTCCTGGGGCTCTTAGGACCCGAGGCGGGCTCCACCTTAGGGACCCCTGCACCCTCCACAGCCACAGTGTCCTTAGGGCTTGGGGGGCACCCAGAAAGTCAGGCTTCCGGGCCGGGTGGTTCGGTCCTCCCTTACAGAACCTGCCCTTTCCCCATCCCCGGCCCGCCGCATCGCGAGCCCCAGCTGGCCTCTGCCGGCCTTCCGGCCCCGAGGGACCGGAGTCCACGCGTGTGTCCCAGGTGGCCTCCCCACCTGTCCCAAGAGCAGGTGCATCCACAGAGGTGCCGGGCCACCGGGGGCAGAGCTGTTGAAGGGGAGGACTGGAGGTGTCCCTTGCCTGGCGGGAGCGCAGCTGGACGGACAAGGTGACCAGGAGGACGCGAGCCATCTGATGCCTCGGGGACAGGCCCCGCCCACCCGTGTCCCGCCCTGTGACCCAGGGTGGCCAATGAGAGCGTGTCCTTTTCCTCCCACTGTGATTGGTTAGGGAGCTGGCACCTGACTTAGTTGGTCCAATCGGAGTTTCTCAAGGCGGCGTTGGGTGGGACAGAGAGGACCCTTCAAAGATTGAGCGCGCAGAGGTTAAGAAGCGCCCTTTCTTGTCCTCCTTGGGCTGCTCTTGTATGGCCAGGGGTGGTCAGAGGCATTCGACTAGGGGACAGTCCTGCCCTCTCCTCAGGACCCTCCTCCCTTGCCTAGTCAAAGAATTGAGCGGGTGGGAGACAGCACGAAGGTTATGCTCCAGAGACACCGCAGTGCATAGCAATTTTAGTAGCTTAAGAACTTGTGCCTGGTGTTCCAACGATTTTAAAAAGAGCAGGTCTGACTTTGCTTGAAGTAGTCCCCACATGGGACTTGTGTCTGCAAGTGGAGTGTGACCAGCGTGCCAGGCACCAAGATGAGGGCCTTCCGACTTTCCTGGAAAGAAGATAAGGCAAGAGCAAAAGTGGGTTATGTATTAAGTGACTTGGAGTCCAGTTCGACTCCTAGAGACCCTGTGAATAGCAGATCTGAACTCTGTCCTATCCTGCACCGTCCTCACCAACCCCGACACACTGCTGAAGACATGTATCCATCTCGTTAAGGGTCTTCCTCTCTTTGTCACCCTCCACCTTTCCAAGCATGATGTCCCTCTCCAAGGAATGGCCTCTCTTAACAACATAACCAAAGTACGTGAGACGAAGCTTCGGCATCCTTGCCTTCAAGGAGCACTCTAGCTGTATTTTCTCCAAGACAAATCTATTTGTTCTTTGGGCTGGAGAATTTGAGCGTTGTCCTATTGAGAGGGCCTTCGAATCTCTTCACATCCCCGGTATGTCTCTCTAAATGTCCTATTGCATCCGGTGTTTCTAAAGGTCAGATTTTGGGGATCCTGAGCTTTGTAGTGCTATTGTTTTGCTTTTTTGTTTAGCTGTTTTCCCCTGTTGTGCACCATGGAGTCTGATCCGCCTGGCACAGGAGGAGATTGCCCCTCCTTCTCAAGCGGAGCATCTGGGGGATTTGAACCACACTCCTTTGGTGAAGTGCTATTGTTTTAATGTGGAATGTTTGCAGTCTGGAAGGAGCAAACTTTACAAGGAAATTAAATAAAGATGGCCCAAACAAGAGAAGTAAAATGATGTCACCCGCAGGGTCTAGGAGAGGCCTTAGCTCAGAAGGTTGGAAATACCTCTTGGAGGAGCCTCCACCAATTGCTCTTCCCTTGCTTGAACTGATACTGCAATCTGGCTTGGTTATACTTTTTGGGGGGGTATGGGCTGGCAGACAATAGTTCAGTCTGTGTACATTGTTTCATTCATGTAGGCCATCCATTGTCTCATGTTCCTCTCCTGATTTGTTGACATAAATGCAGCAGGAGGAAGTGTTAACTGATCTGATACACAGACCCCTTGCTTAGCAAGTAGGTAGTCCAAGGCCACCCTGGTCCATGGCCACTTGGGAAAGGCGTTCTACGCATCGTTGCTGTAATCCTAACGTTTTAACTACAGATAAGGTAACCTCTTCTAGGGACGGAGTCAAACTGGTCAGGGTAGTTTTGTGGGCAAGTAAATTCTAAAAATTAATTCTAACACTCTTGGCTTAAAAATGAATAGGCAAGGTAGCTCTGGTGGCCTAGTGGCAAGACGCTGCACTGCAATCCCAGAGGTACGCGGTTCAAATCCACCAGATGCTCTGCTGGAGAAGGAGGAGGCAAT